AGCATCATGCTTTGGAGCTAAATGCAGGGTAAACCAGAAGGAAACTGTAGAAAAGGTGAACATGTGGCAGGAGGCGACGGTAAACAAACAGCTGGAGGTTCAAATCAAAGCTAGTCTTTAAACCAAGCCTTACTGTAGGGCCGCTGAGCTGCAGCTGATTTTAATCGATAGTTGATTAACAGGATTTTGCTGAAATGCAATCATCAAAATCAGCTGTGCTAAAGCAGAGAAACCTCTAAAACCTCCAGGACCCACTTTGGGGACGCCTGCTTTAAAAAACGAAGAATCTTTAGAAAGATTTTAAACCTAACTTCCTCAGATGATCTGCATCCAATACGGCTAAACTCACCTTATTTAGCAGAGAATAATAAATAATAGATGGACATTCTAAAACATCTGCCAATGGAAGAGTAGAAAAAAAAGATTCCACTTCAGAAATGAAAACAGTTTCCTTCTAAAAACTGTTGATTTTACAATAAAATTCACCAAAATAATCCCATCAGAGGAATCAATATTAATTGCAGTAAAATGATTCCTTTCCTGAACCAGAGGAGGCGACAGTGAGTCTGGCTAAAGGGCGCCCTCTGCTGGCAGCATGTGGTAGTGCTCTGAGGACAGATAATTAAACTGATAGCAATTTAATTTCTGTTATAAAGATCAAACAGCGCCTCCAATATTTTACTTTTTAATTTAGGTTCATTTATAAAGATATAGATATTTGAAATAAATAAAACTTATCGTCTTAAAATGTGCAGATCTAAATATTTTTCTGCGTCGTCATTGAAGGTGAAAGAACCTTTGGAAGCATTTTGATCAAATAAAAGCAGAAAATAGATTCAACCTGTGGCGTCTGGCCAATAGAGGGCGCTAGGGCGCCGCCCCACCCACCCAATGATCCTGATTAAGACATAAAAATATATATATATTTTTTAATAATTTTATTTTAAGTTAACATTTAAAATATTTTGTAATATATTAATATGTATTTCTTAGATGTGGAAGATAAATATTTAATCTTTAATGACGAGTAGATCGTTATTCAATCTTTCGACAGATGGACGTATTTCCACCTGAAGGATAAAATATTTGCCCATCGACTCGTTAAAAGTTGTTCATGCGCTGCGGCTGCTCTGAAATACAGACGGATAGGAGAGCTCGGGACGCAACTCTGGCATTAGAGAGAGAAAAATGGTGCAAGAAAAATCCTTTTCCAGTACCTGGTTTATCTCCAAGGCTAAGCTAACTGCATGTAGCGAGGCTGATGCTTTATCCTGCTTTCCCTGCCTCCATTTTTAAACATCAGGATCTGATCCAGCCTGGATAAAAACAGCTAGGACTGATTTAAAGTACTTTTTTAGAAAAGGCAAAGAACAATGACCCAGGCTCACTTGTTCAAAGGGAGTTTTTCCTCTCCACTGTCGCTACAAGCATGCTTAGTGTGAGGGATTGCTGAAGAGTCAATGAGTCGATGCAATCAGCTGGTTTTCCTTAGATAGAAAACTTTGAATCAATCTGACTGGATGATCTGGTGAACTGGAAAGTGACCTGAGATGACATGATGTGAATTGGAGCTATAGAAATAGAATGAATAGAATTGAAAGAACAATCTGGGATTCACATGGAAAATAATGGTCTAATTTTTCTAGATGTTTGTTAATTTGCATAGTTGCTCTTAAATAAACACATTCTCAGAAAATAAATAGTTTTTATTTATTAAAAAATATAAAGCTTTTCCGTTATTAAACTGGTTCATTATTTTTTTTTAGTTTGTGACAATATTGGAACATGAAAACACAGATTAACTTTCATAAAGCATCAGAAGGGCAACATTTATGTAAAAACATAAAAGTAAACCTGGACATGAAATGTTTTTTTTTTTTATAAAGTGTTTTTATTATTTTTGTTGTTGTTGGCGTTCATATAAACATACTGGTGTGATAACTTTAATTTAAACTGATCTTTTTTCTAATTGCAGGTAAATTTATTTTGCAGCAATGTCCCCAAAAATTAACCCCTTGGATCCCAAACAGTTTTCTAAGCAGCTCGTCTGGTTCTGGTTAAAATCCTGCAGCTTTGCAGATACTTACAGGAGTCCTCAATCTTTATGAGAGGGTTCGTCAGGATGGGTGTAGAGGGTGCTGAAGGGACAGTCTGAGGTGACTGAGGGGGGGTGACAACGGGGGAGGGGATGGACATGCTGTCTGAGACGCTCCCCTCTGCGTCCTTCCCCTTGTCCCTCTACACACGAGCCCCGGTGGGGAGGGGGGAGAATGACAACGCATGCAACGAAAACAAACAGGATGCTTTCAACAGGAATAAAACAAACAACAGAAAACTCAGCAAATAATCAAAATAATGAGAATTTTGTTATGAAATAATAAAAAAATGGAGGAAATGCTTTAAAAGAAGCTTTGATGAAGGAGGAAGGAAGCAGTGATGAGAAACATGAAGGCCTTGAAGCGCTGCAGAAACATTATCGCTGATTCTTCTCACATTACAGCTTAAATTAATCTCATTAACACCACAACTATGTTTATAACTCATTTTAATAAGATCTATTCACATTTATTTCTTAATCTAGAATTTATTTTAAGTAATCTAAACAGAAAGCTGAACTAAAAGGCATCATGAATTTATCTTTTTAAAACCAGAGCGTAATTTTTCTCCCAAACTGTTTACATTTAATCACTGCTGCACTTTATGGGAAGGAAATGTTCATTTACTGGCTGAGAAGCTGCACTGAACGAAATGACTATAAAAGTTTTCAAAGTCTAAGAATAAACCGAGCCTACGCTAAGTGTAGCGATCCATCTGCTGAGCTGAAAGGCTGGAAAGAGAAGCTTTAATCGCCGTCAGGATGAGACATCTTTACCTTCCGCTGTCCACCTCCGGGGACGTGACCGATGTTGTCCAGAGAGCCCACTTTGGACTGAACTTTGAACTCTAGCTTCTCGGTTTTGATCTCCACGTTTCCTCCACCTTTAAAGAAAACCCCAAACAGGTCATTCAGGCCTGAGCTAAGAGTGAGGAAACAAACACAGCAAGGCTCTTCAGTCACCTGGCTTGTGATGAATGTTGTCTTTTGATCCACATTTTGACGTAACGTTGCTCAAATCAATCTTTTTGTGCACAATTTGAACCTGTGGAGGAAGCAGAGCAGGAAGCAGAAGTTAACAATAAGACGACGAAGCTGCGGCTCTTTGTTAGCCGGTTAGTTTGGTACCAAGAAGGCAGAACTTCATCAGCAGGACAGCTGAGATTAAAGCAGGAATTATGCTCAGAAAACAGCTTAAAGTTTATATATCATCATATTTCAGGGTTGGGAAACTGATGAGTCTTCAAATTAATTACTAAAATAAAAAAAAAAACAGTTTTGGAGAACAGGAAGGGGAATAACAACCATGCAAACAACATCTGAGGTAACCATAGCAACCAGCATAATGGTTATCCAGCAAGGAAATCCTTTCCTTTTCAGGATTTAACTTTTCTCTCAGATTTGCTGTTTTCTGTTAGCATAAAAAAGTCAGCAGGAAGTTTATGATTAGCTTAAATCAATAATGTGTCTCCTGGTGATTCTAATTAATTAGCTTCAGCTTTTTTTCCTTTTTAGTCCAAATAAAGGAGTTTGATTGCAGAATTGTTCTGGTTGTTTAATACTCTGCTGTAGAGGCGCTAGTGCTGAATGCTAGTCGGTTCCCATTTAGCAATTTGGCTCATCTGTATTATTCTTCTCCATTAACACATTGATTTTAATGTGATGAATTTATATAATATGTTATATTACATGATTTATAGACTTCATAATGACTATATAATGTGATGGGCCGATTTTTTTTATTCTAAGTTAAAGTTAATCTACTGATGCTATGAAAACAGTCAGTCTTTGTTGTTCGATGCTGTAGGGCACCGATTGTTTACATTCCGACCGGTCTAACTAGGGAGTACCAATATGGCGGCTGGTGGCTTCGCTTCAACCCTGTTCTACCAACGGGCAATCAGCAATCCAGGGAATAAATAGAGATCAGCGGCGTGAACGTGGTGCTTAGCTTGCTAACGTAAAGTAAGCTGATGGTGAGGAGATCTGACCAAACTGGGAACGCTGGTAGAAATTCCTGCTTTCTTTCAGACCAAATCCTATTTTTACAGGTCAGAGCAAAAATGTTCAGAACAGGAACAGAAACACTTCTAAGTTAGTGCTGCTCAGGAAATGTTTCCACTGAAACTAAAATCCATTTTTCAGGGTTTGAATCTCCTCCTGTGATAAACCTGCCTGTAGAAATCAGAAAGACTTCATCTTTAATGGGATTAAATGCTAAACTGATGGTACTACAATTTACACCGGCCAGTGGCGTGGCCGGGGCATTGCACAGGGTGGCCGTGGCCCCCCCTGGTGGCCCCCCTGTTTTAACTCCCTTGAAATGATGCCAGTTTGTTTGGTTTCCAGCTCTCATAAATGTTTCCGTTCATTTTTCCTGATCCCAGCTGTGAGCTGCAGACTCCGCTGTCTCTTCATGTCATGGGCGGTTCTAGACAGGGGCCAACGGGGGCCGGTGCCCCTGTAGATCATGTCCTGGCCCCCATCATGGCCGCTGTACCGAAGACATAATAATCAAAGAAATCCTAAAGATGATCTGCGTTGGAACAGACATGGTTACTGATAGTTTTTTTTTCTTTTTTTTTTATTTACAAATTCTGTTTTACTAATCATTTAAAATATATATTTAAAAAAAACAAGGTGATAGCTTCAGTGGTATTGAGATAAGATTTTTTTCAAGATTTTGTTTTTTTCATAACAAATTTTAATAAAGATCTAATATTTGATCAGTTTTTCTTAAGTCTTAATTCTGGTTTTATAGAAAACGGTCATTTTAACTTAAATAAAATCAAAAATGTGTAAAATTCCTAAATTATGAATGTATATTGACCAAACAAAAACATAGAATTTTAATTAAACCTAATTGGATAGAAATTTCACTTCATGCAGCTATATTAAAGGAATAGTACACCCAAAACATGATTAGCCTTCATTTTCTACTCACCCCCATGCTGAACAACACTCTGGAGTACTTTTTTGATATCTCAAATGCATCTGGAGATCTGGGAGGCTTCTTGCTGTCTGCTGACATTCAAAAATGGAGGTCTATGGCGCCCGAGACAGAAAGGTCCATAAAAGTACACAAGAAACGTGTCAATATTCCTCCATACTGCTCGTCCAATGTATTCCAAGTGTCCTGAGTGGGTAGCGTCCAGAATTTACTCGAAACGAAGTCATTTAGAATGTTTTTAGAGCATAAACAGTAGTGTATAGGATTTCCTAAAAGCGCGTTCACGAGTCTACGGAAACCGCGGCAGACCAAACCAGATGAAAGTGCGCATTCAGCTCAGCAAAGAACTCATGCTCTTCCTCAACACTGAAGTCCTCAGACATTTTTCTTTCGTTGTTTCTTTCTTTGCACAGGTAAACAGCACATTTCTTCTTCTACGCTTGCATTATCGGCAGAGCAGACGCTGAATGCGCACTTTCATCTGGTTTGGTCTGCCGGTTTCCGTAGACTCGTGAACGCGCTTTCAGGAAATCCTATACACTACTGTTTATGCTCTAAAAACATTCTAAATGACTTCGTTTCGAGTAAATTCTGGACGCTACCCACTCAGGACACTTGGAATACATTGGACGAGCAGTATGGAGGAATATTGACACGTTTTTTGTGGACTTTTATGGACCTTTCTGCCTCGGGCGCCATAGACCTCCATTATTTGAATGTCAGCAGACAGCAAGAAGCCTCCCAGATCTCCAGATGCATTTGAGATATCAAAAAAGTACTCCAGAGTGTTGTTCAGCATGGGGGTGAGTAGAAAATGAAGGCTAATCATGTTTTGGGTGTACTATTCCTTTAATATTTTTGAATCCCTTTTGTTTTTTATTTCATGCTTTTCTGGCCCCCATGAGAACACGCTGGCCCCCTCCTGGCCCCCTGGTACATTTGGTGTAGAACGGCCCTGTTCATGTGACGCTTCATGTTTCCACATTTCATCTCTCAGCTTCTCTTATTCCTTTAATTTAAAGATCTTATTCGCTGGATTGACTAAAACCTTCACGCAGCAGTGGAGGGTGAGGAGTTGTGAAAATGATGATAAAAGCTTTTTATGAAAGTGTTGGTCCTCATGTGCATCACAGCTGAAGTGACCTCATCTTACAGCCGATTGTGTGGAAACACAAAGCGCTCGGTCTGTCCCCCCTGAGGTGGAGGACAGAGGCTCTTTGTGACTCCGTCGCACAATCGCTTCACTTCATTCACACGTTTTAGCAGAAGGAGAAGCAAACGGGAAACTTCATGCATGCTGGGTCAGCGTCCAAACTCACACATTCATCCCAGTTAGGGAGCTTATGTTAGACTGGGAGCGTTTTATTCACCCAACGCTCCGTAGTTCACATCAACAGGTGGAAAAGGGAAGGCCCACAGGTTTCAGGGAAACACGGTTATTTGCACGAGTTAACGGGTGGAGAGGAAGGGACGGACAGACGGGAGGCTTAGTGCAGTGCTGCTCCTCCAGAGGCACACCTGCAGCCCCGCCCTGTTTTACTCACATTGCCACCACCAGGTACATGTTTTATGTTATCTTTGGAGCCACAGCGGGACTGAACGCTGCTCAGGTCCAACTTGTGATCAAGAATTTGGACCTGGAGAGTTTTTGATTTGGGGTGGAAGGAAAAAGAAATAGTTATCTTGGAGGAAAAGTTCAGACTAGAGCAGAGGAAGGATAATTAAAGACATTCATTAAAGGCTGATCATAAGAAGCAGATGACAGTCTGTGTTTTTGTTCGCTGATGCAGCCAAAGTTCTACTTTTAAGGATTTCAGAGGTTTTCAAACCACGCAGGAAAAAATCAATTCTGACTTTCAGGGTTTTTAATCTAGAAAAGGAATAAAAACTTCCAGTAAATAAGTGATTAAATATTCATGCTGTCATCATCAAAATGCATTTTAATATTTATTTCCCCAAACAGTGAAACAGAAACACTTCAGAGGGTCTGGAACTGGTTTGAGACCAGTTCCCCCAGTTTCCCTCTGTGGCGATTAATGTGGTTAGTTATGTTAGCTTTTAGCTCCTCTGGATCGGCGCAGAGGCCGGCCGTCAGTAGAGCACGCTCATCAATCACCTCTCCATCAAACGGACAAAACCAGCTGAACACCATTTTAGTGCTGGGACGAGGCCCCGCCCCCATACTGGTATCAGTGCAACACTAATTCTAACCATCTTAGGAGTCAGGAAACCTCCCCGCTGGGGCGATGGAGGCTCCCTACAAGCTTCACATGCTCAGAAAAAACAAAAACATTTTAACCTCCCCACCAGTAATGAGTAATATGTTTGTTACTGGTTGTGAACTGGTTTTCTTCAGGACAGTTTCCATCAGCATCAACATGCTAACGTTTCCTGGCCTGTTATGGGAGCAGATCACATGGTTTAGTCACAGGTTTCCCTCCCGGACTGGATCCACGGGAGGAAACCAGTAACTCCAGTCAGATTATTCCTAAAGGAAACTGAGGAACTGGAGATGAGCCCATTTGTGGTCAAATTGTTTTACAAATGTTCTTGCTTTTATTTTTCTTAGATTCTTTTATCTAATTCATGTAAAGCATTCTGAATTGTCCTTATACTGAATTGTGCTATAAAATCAAATTGCCTCGCCATGTGACCCAGGATGCTGTTTCATGTCAGAGCTTCCTTTAAACGGTTAATCCAGCTAGATTAATTCCTGGATTAAGTCTTACTATTATTAATAACTATTTTACAAACGTAAAAGGAAAAAACGAAGCATTGTTTTATTTATTTTCAGCACATTTCTATCCTTCCTTTGACTCCTCGAGTCAAACAGCCAATAGCCTCCAAAGCAGAAGTAATGGGATTACTTCAAAAGTAATGGGATTTAAACGCTTCAGTTTCCTTTCAGCTTCTTTTCTATCAAACCAAATTTCTTAAATGTTTTTCATTGTGATTAATCGACGGTATTATCATGTATTCAACTGCTAGGAGAAGCATCAACCAACACAGTGCCGGTGTAGGTACCAGATTGACTCGGGGGCCTGCGCCTTTTGATGACGTCACAATACATAATTGTTTTAACGTT